TAACATAAGTCGCTTATTTACAGTTTTGCGTACCTTCATTTTTTTACCTTTTCGCAAAAAGGCGCAATTTCAAATGTGCAAATATTTGTTATTTATTAACTCAATACAGTTTTATCTTTTAGATTTAGTCAGAAAATATTTTTTGTGTGCAAGGATACTGATTTTAGTGTGTTTTATCAATTGAATTGTGTATTTTTATCGGTTTAATATTAATTTGAGAAACATTTGCGCAATTATCGCAGGGCCTACAAATTTAGTATCACCATCTTTTTATTCTACCGGGCCTGCGCTTTCAGAAAATATTTGGTTTCGGGGATCTTTTACAAACACTAGCAACGCAGCAGTTGAAAATCAAATCAATGGGAAAAATTGCAAAAATGGCTTGGCCAGCTGAATTGAAAAATGTTCCGGAGGGCTTGGCAGCGAAAGGGTTAAAGCGCCGTTTATGGCCAATTTTGCGTGTGGTCGTTTTTTTGCAATTTTAAGGCTTGGCATGTTTGGTGTCTATATACCCGACATGACCCCCTCTTTTCCGTCTTTTATATTGACCCAAAAAATTGGGGTGATAATAAATGTTTGACAACATTTCATAGGTACAGTTTTTTTTCAAAATGTATGGTACTAAACCCGCAGTGGTGATTAAATTCAACCAAAAGAAAGCTCTACGTGTCCCCAAAAAATTAATATAATTAATTTCAGTACAGCGTTGTATGACTGAATAAACGTCAGTCAAAGTACTGCAGCGCTAAATACTGAAAAATGGCCTGGACTGGAAAGGGGTTTAACACCCTGGTCTTTAAGTGGTTAATGTGGCATAAAGGCCAACAATAAAAATAAAAATTATTTAAATACCATACTTGGGGATGCCTTCAACATGCAGGTGAAATTGCACCCATTCACCAAACTGTGGACAAGCTGGGTTTGGGTCAAACTGAGATTCAACCCAAACCCAAAGCTCGTTATAGTTTACAGTATTGCTATTGGTAGTATCTTCATGAATATGTTGAACATCAGCCTACATTTAAAGGATTTATTCACCTTTAATGTTCTGTTGTCTATTAACATTACAGTTGACAAAGCATATTAAAATACTGTCCTCCATTTTTAAAAATTATGCTTACTTTTATTAATGCTGCTCTTGTGGGCTCTACTTCTCCATCCTGCCTATATAGAATGATAGACCGATATTTGATGTATGGCCCTAGGTCCTCACAACCAAGCACTCAGTTAGGAGAACATGCGTTCTCCACTTTCTCTTGCAGTAGTGGCTGAGCACAACATTCTGTGAGTGAGAGAGACGGTGGATTGTACTTATTTGGTTAGCCAAGTCGAGTTCTCCTATCCGAGTGCTCGTTCATGAGAAGCTGGGCCTGTGCATCCATGTAAAAGGAGAGCCCACAGAAGCAGCATTAAAGTAAGCATACATTTTAAAATCAGAGGACAGTATTTTAATATGCATTGAAAACTGGATTGATAATGGATTTAAAAATAAAATTAAAGGCGAACTAACCTTTAAAAAAAAATATATTATAGAACTATAGATTTTTTTGTAATGTATTTTAAATGTAACTGCTGTTTTTGGTTCTGTAGTATCACTGCTTATTTTTCAGTACAACTTTTCATAAACTTTTTTGTCACCTATATATATTTTCTACTGACATTGTTATTAGTGGTAAGCGGAACCTACCTGGGTTTGGTTCAGGACAGGTTCAGCAAACTTTACTCAAGTTCGGGTGCCAAATCCGAACCCTGTTGAAGTCAATACAAATCATCAATGGCTGTTTTCTAAACTAATAGGCAAGGGATTTACAAAATAGCGCATTGGGGTGCTGGGTGGTACCCTTAAGGACATGTAACAAAGCAAAAAAAAATCAATTTGGCTGTGATCACAGATGTCATTATTGTCTAAAGGGCAACAAACAAATGCTTGGTAACTTTAAATAACATGCTTGGGTGATGCCCTTAACCTGCTTGTGAAGTGTTGCATCCTTACAATGTATACTACCTGCTAAAGCTGACATTTACAATAAAAATGCAATTTAAACTGTCAGAAAATGCCTGCTCCCGGCTGCTTTATTCTGTTTGTAAACAAATTGGCTGGGAATTATTTACATCTACTGTATAGCTGACCCTTATCCTAGAAGAAGAGCTGGTAAAGATGGTAAGGGGGTCCTCCTCCCCTGCTTAGACACAATTAACATTTTCAAATGTTCTCTATTAAAGAACAACTCTTTACTTTTCAAAGACATATTGTATATATATATATATATATATATATATGATATGTTGCTAGGATTCTTTTTTTTATGCAAGCCTGTCTCACGTCTACATGCATTTCACATCCACAGATTAGAATCACATTTTTAAATGTAATATGTTTTATGTATTACAGGCATTATGTGTTAAAATTTATATATATATATATAACGCTGTTATCCTTTCTAGGGCCGTGATTGTTCTTAATTAAGAACTGTCTTTTATAATTAGCAAACTGATAAAATACCAAGATAAGATGCTACTGAAGTAGATGTGAAGTTCATTAGTAAAATGATGCTTTCTTTCCAATTAATATCTGTATGTAGAGCAGCTAGGGCTACCTAATAATAAAGTATCTCCAGAGCTAAAACTTTAGTTTTGTAGGGTAGGGAAGGGTATGGAGGAGAAGGGTTCTAACCTCTGTCATCATTTTTTTCTGCCTTATGTGTTCAGTTGGAGATATTTTCCTTCACATCTTGTCCTGTAGACACAACAGGAAGTGAGAGGTTGCTGCCACAAGTATCCTTATTATAAAATCTCCCCTTTATTTCTATTCCATTGGCAAAGTTTGTGAGTTTTCCTCACTTTTACCTCAGGTGACATGGACTAGGGATGAGCCTTAAGTCCGGTCTGAACACAGGTTCCCTCCCACAGTCAATGCTGGTAGGTTAATTGGCTCCTGTCTAAATCGGCCCTGTGTGCATGTGAGATAGGGACCTTAGCGTGTAAGCTCCTTTTGGACAGGGACTGATGTGAATGTGCAAATTTGTATTACCAGTAATACATAATAATAAACATGATTGACAAAGGATGTGCAGCTTGAAACATTTTTTTTTAAATAAAGGACTTGTCAAATGTTTGGGTGTCATTTTTTACTGGTTACTTTTTTGTGAATGATAGGGGTGTTATGTCCCCCTTGGTCATTCACATGAGGGGGAGCATGGCATCTGGGGGCCCCTTAATTCTTATAGAGAACTTCCATATTCTTATTAGCCCCCTCTGCCTGCAGACCCCCCACAAACACCAGGCCAGGGTTGTTTGGACTAGGCTCTAGTAGAATTTGGGGGGCCTTATGTGTTTTTTTAAATGGTAGGTCTTTATTTACAAATGGAAGGATGCAGATTGAAACTGTTATTTACCAGCAATTTAAACTGCATTTTTGCTGTAGTACAATATATACATGGTACAGTTGATTTCACAGGCAGGTTGCAGGGCACCCCCAAGCTTGTTATTCAAATAAATTATGCATATTTAATGTTGCTCTTTAAGCATTATTCAAATCACTGATCCTAGCCAAACAAAATTCTACATTTCTTTCCTTTGGTACATGTCCTCCAGGAAACTGGCCAGCTTCCCATGCACATTGCTTGTCAACGCCTTGGCTATTAGCCTAGAGAATAGGCATTAATGATATATAAGATTCGGCCCCCCGCTGAATTTAATAGGATTTGGATTCAGCACCTAAGCTTAAGTAGCACATCACAGTGGCATAGTGGTTAGTGCTTTGTAGCACTAGTGGTCCCTGGTTCGATTCTCGGCCAGGTCATTATCTACAAAGGGTTTGCATGTTCTCCCTGTGCATGTGTGGGTTTCCTCTGGGTATTATGGTTTTCCCCACACTCCAAAGACATGCTGGTAGGCTAATTGACTTCTGTTTAATTTGGCCCTCATGTGTACAGTATGCATGTGAGATAGATACCTTAGATTGAAAGCTCCTAGGAGGGTAGGGACTGATGTGAAAGTGCGCTGCGTAAATTGTCAGTGCTATATAAATACCAATAATAAATAAATTAAGTATAGTTTGCCAAGCATTGGTACATTCAGCTCATGACTAGTTGGGCAAATAGAGAGAGTGAATCTCTCCAGCAATGACGCAGACTGCAAAGCAAACCTGACAAGAGTTATAATTTTTCTCTACTCCATCCAAAACTAAGAACAAAAATGTTTGCTTTAGAAACACTATGTGCAACTAATGTCAATGCATGTTTATAATCAAAGGTTCTTTGATGATAAGTGCAAAATTCCTGGACAGAGTTTAAATGTTTTTAATTAAATCTATAACTTTGTTTGATGCCTTTTTTCTTATCATAGTCTGCATTCCTGACCATTTATATATGTTGGCTATTATAATTATGTTGGGTCTGTTACACCAAGCAAGTATATTTTTTCTGCTTGAAGTATAATCCTTTATTCTTGGCTCAAATTATTCTGGCTAGCAAAAATTATCCATAATATCATACTTACACATGCTTGGTATCTTATTTTGGAGAAGGTCAGGCATGATTGGGCAAAAAGCAGGCAGAACAGACATAGCTGGATTTGCACTAGTGCCTGTAGGAGCACTACTTTTAGACAGAACGTGTACTTGTTTCCTTGATCCTAACCTGGCTTAGAATATTGTGATAGTGTGTAATTCATTTGTTTTAATTAAAATTAAATGGGGTGAGTATATTTCTAATGATGATGGGAAAGGATATATAGCTACAGTATATAGGAAAAAAGCCTCCTCTTTGACGAAGGCGTCTACTCAGCCTAAAGTTAAATCTGCCACTGAGAGGAGATTTTTACACGTTAGATCACCTCTTGTAATTTATAGTACCATTAATTTTTATAGTATCTAGTAAAAAGCATAGTCCAATGTAATGTTTTCAATTATTTCTTTGTAAACAATGTTTTAAACGTTGAATTATAGAAAAAGAAATGTCTGAATTAAGTGTCAATAGAATCTAAGGATATTGTCATACCTTAATGTATACAAAATTTTGCCATCATTCCATATTCGAAGGAGTTGATTGGGAGTTGTAATCCAATGAGCTTCCGCAGTTTTAGAATTACGAAAAATAGTATCTGGAATCCAAATTAATCCAACCATATTGCTGTTTAGGGTTAAAATCTTCATGGTGCTATTAAACCTGAGACGATTGTCAAACCATGTTTGGGCAAAAAATATGTCTATTTGGTATTCCTGTTGGAGACAAGAAATATTTGGTGTACATTATTTCACTCTAGCTACATTTTTATAACATTTTAGTAAAGCAAATATTATATATTCATTTGCACAGCATTTCTCTATTTTATACAAGGTGCATAGCAAGATGTGTGTTTGAATATTACAGTAAATTAAAAGAATGAACCATCTATTCTTAATAAAATCTATTCTTTAAAAAAATAATCAGGAATCTTTAATTGTAACCATTTTTTTGAATATGACCGCCGCTTGTAAAGGATAATGGATTCATAGATCCCGAGCTAACCACTCCCTCCCCTCCCCCCTTTTTTTCTTTCTCCTTTCCTATTTCTTGCCACTTCTTTTTTCTATCTCATTCTCTTTAGTCTCCTTGTTTCCCTTGCTATTTTGTTATCCTCAGTAACATGTACCTTGGTTTTTAGCCCTTTTTTTTCTCGCAGCCTGAAGTTGCTAATAAACTGGAGGAGGTGTTGTTGAGTGCCATGAGACTCTTGTGGTATTATCTGTTTGTAATCATTCAAGTACCAGCCTTGGACTCTCCTACTATGACTTCATGTATAATTATTGGATATCTAATGCAATCTAAGCCTGCATGCCAGTCTTACATTATTTTTTGGTTTAATCTTGTTCTGTACGTTCTTTAAAAACAAAAACAATTTTTGCATAATATTCAGGAATAAGCTAAAGGTTTTGATATGTTTACTAAATGTCAATGCTTACAAACTGTACAAAAAGGCTGAAATACTAAATCAAGAATATGAAAACATGATGTTGAGATGTTCTTAAGATATAGAAGGAAACATCTGATTACTTAGCACAGGGGCATATTGAATTGAAGAAGTAGACATTATAATATGAAGAAGTATAAAAATACAAACTAAAATAAACAACGTATTATTTGCTTGTGTTTTCCTTTGTCATCTTATTTAGGGGGTAAGAATGGCAGATAAAAAAAGTCAGGATGATTAAGGATTAGTAAAGAAAATGTAATAATGAACAATAAATATGCTTTTTTAATTTTTTTATCAACAACCATAGTCCAAAATGTAAAAAAAAATACCTTTCTGCCTTTTGGTATATATTGAACCTAAAATGTAAGATCCACTATTAATGAGCTACCATTATCATTTATAAGAATATGTGCAAAGGTTCATAGAAAAAGTATCACTTCACCAACATTGTGATCAGCTCATAAAGGATGCCAGTCAATGTAGGCTATAAAAGACTTACCAGAAGGTGTTGGTACTGCTTCTTTTATCGGACTGAACAACAGAGCATCTGTGTGTAGGAAAGTACCGCCCGGGAAAGTACCTCCCTTAATTATATCCCAACTGTCTATGCCAAGTTTAATTATTTAAAGAAAACTTGTACTGAGGGAAATATTGTGGCTGGCATTTCTGACCTTAGTCTTAAAATGTTAATTGCCTGGTTTTTATATTGTCTTTCCAGCTTTGAAAGGTTCTACATTTTTAAAGGAGAAGGATCAATATCAGTGAATTCAGAAAGAAGTCAGATATTCTTATTTACATGCTTGCTCTGTGTCAATGAATCAAATAGTTTGAATAAAGAGGGTCAGCATGATAGTCAGAAAATGATCATATTTAGAGAGATCAGTAAAGACAGCCTCAATGCTTTCTCCTAAGAGAATATTGTTAACATCTATATCTAGGTTTGGTGTTCAGATAATACAGCCCTTGAAATGAAAAACATACTAGGTTTGTGAATGTGTTTGCATTTCAACAGATGTATTCAATAAGTATTGAACCTATACTAAGCATCAATCAGAACAATAATTGGAAACTGAAATCTGAAACTAGAAATGTAAATTTACTGATCATCCCAAATTTCGTTCAAAGTGAAACTAAATTGTACACATGACTGTTTTCTGGCCAGAACCCCATCCGAAACTAAAACAAAATTCCGAAAGCCCCAAATAATGAAACAGCTTTTAGACCCGAAAACTAAAAGAAAGAAAAAATCAGAAACAAAATATTTTTTCCCTTGCAAGAACCTTCTTGACTGTTGTAAGTTACTATGCTCTGTGTACCATTATTACTTTTTTCATACCTTTTTAATGAGCCTGCAAGTGTCTAGTAAATATAAGGTGTAAAATGCTCAACTAGTTCATAAAATGAACACATTCTTAAACATATCTTCTGTTTGAAGGGTTCAGATCTGTGGATATATAAGAAAAATATCTTCCCACAATGACAAATATCAGCCTCATTAAACCCATGAGGTGTAAGCCTAGAGTTTTGAACCTGGGACCAATTTTCCTGTGATTTCCTCTTTAAGCACTGACTTACAGAAATACTGCTATTGGCAAAGTAGGAGGTGTTCTGGAGGCCCTCTTAGTATGAAAATGTGCACCAGTCCACCCCAGTTCCTTTTGTTGGCTATCTGGTGATCTGAGAAGCCCTGTGATGCAGGAGACCTATTCCCATATACACCCACCCATTCATTGTTTCCTCACCTCCAGATTTCTGACAGTTATAAGGTTTGCTGGATAGCATTAGTAGCTCAATGTTTGGTGTCACTTATTGCCTGGAATTGCTCTTCGTTTTTATAACTTATTCATGAGACACTACTAAGGCATGATTGTTATGTATTTTGTTAGATATTATATCCTGTTTCTGCAGAGTGTCAGGTGTGCATTTTACAATCTAAGGTTTAACTTGAGATAAATATCCATAGAAATGGAAAGAGAAAAAGGATAATTCCTCCTTTGTAGTCTATATAATTTCAAATACAATACACTGGAGATCTCATACATTTTAATTGTAATGCACGTTTATTCCTATCAAAACCCATATAAAGGAAACAATATTTATGTTCTTTTTTTCGTTGCAATGAAATTGCAGTTTCTGATACTAAATTTGTGGCAAATTGTTAGTAAAATTAAATGCAGCTAATTTATCTTAAAACACAGCTGGCTAAAATGCAATCATGTGACTAAGTGAGGCTTTATGTATATTTAAATGCTTTTTAAAACATTATCTTGGAAGCTATTTTCTGCCTTGAAGCAATGATTAAGTCATGCACTGGTGAAGTCATTTGTTTCATTCAGAATGAATGCCCAGCCACATTCTGTTGTCCTACATGAAGAAATACTTCAGTACTATAATCTAAAGTGTGGTGATATAATTAGAGAGGTTAGGGAGATTATGGTTCCTTATCAAAATAGTGTAACAGGTGCACTCGATCACTCACCTGTTCCTCGTTCCAGGACTCCTCCCCCACTCCCTAGTTAAGGCTGAATGTTACACTTGCCTGACGTTCGAGCAAGTGTGAAGACGCCAGGCAAGTTCCTGTATCCCAGCACCGAACCTCTTCCTCTTATTGGGCCGGACAGAGCCCCTCCAAAACCACCAGCACATCCTGCTTTGACTTCCCTGCAATTCGGTCTCCACTACCTCCTTCATCCCCAGCTTCAGCAAGGACTATTACAATCTGGACTGCAGTTACTCTAAAGATCCACCGGAGGGCACCAACATTCTCCTTATCATTCCTATCAACTAAAATAGCAGTAAGCATACCACAGACTGTGATTTCCAAATGCTTGCATATTGATAGAACTGTGCATAGGGATAACTTGATTGCTCCCATTGATTGTTGTCATCCTTCACCCCACTAATCTAAAAGGACTGCTCCCTACAATAAAACCTCATCTATTTTTCATGCTAAGTAATTGTTGCCTAACTCATTACCATAAGACTGTAAATTCACTGTGGTGTAGGATTGCACCCCCTCCTCATACTTCTGCAGCTGTGATCCTCCACCTAAAATAAGACCTGTGGGGTCTGGTTGTTACAAATAGTCTTCCAGCTTGAAACAATATTCATTACAAGCCCTTTACTATAAGATTTTACTTTGTAATTTGAATTAGAATTTAAAGGTTGACTTGTTCCTGACCCTCCCATGAGTAAAACAAGGAGGGAATCACCTGGATGGGAGCTTACTTACTGAAACGAAGTGCACATGCATTGACTGCATAAATGATCTATTTGCTTTTTTAAAACATGTAGTAAAGGTCTCACTGCGACCATACAATGAATGCTTATCTTTACTGCTGCCTACACAACTGAACTCTGCTGGGCTGAATAGATATTCTCTCTCAAAGTGGACCTTTACCACTTTTCACTAAAACTCACATTAGCATGCAGCTCTGAATGCTGATATGAAATTATCTTACACTCATTAGTTAAAATAAACTTTTTTTCTTTTACTTACAAATACTGTTTTTCCACTGCCTGGTCCTCTTAGGCATTAGTGATGTAGCCCATGCCTAAAAGATGCATCCTGGGAAGGTTACATCCGCAGTACATTGCTGGTAAATCTCATCTATAAACTTCAAACTCTTGTCAGATCTCAGTGAAAGGCATTTTTTCACCTGAGATGATGTGATGTGCCAATCACAAGTGCCAGAATTCCAGGAAGTAAAGGGAGATGAAATCATCTGCCCTTAGTAAAAACAACCACTATTTAACCACTTCCGGACCGCAAAATGTATACAAACTGTGTGGTCCTGCAGATGTTATACATGTCGTGCCCAGGACTGGCACAATGGGTCTTGTTGGCTTGATCAGAGGGAAATCAGCACACTTCCCCTCCAGTCACCCCTCCAGTTACAGAAACCAGAAGAAACAACGTATTTGCTTTCATACAGGGGGCTTGTAAGCATCATACTACTTTTAGTGTATTTTTCCCAAAAATATTGATTTGATAAACATTTGCAGAAATGTAGCCACAAATTCAGATTTTAACATATGTGTGCAAACTGGTTAAACTGCATCTATAAAGGATTTGGTGTTCCATCTGATAATTTTACATGTGTGGTGCCATCAGGCCAAGGTTAAAGAGTTCTCTAAGGACCTTAGGAAGAAGCTTCTGGATGCCTATAGATCTGGCACGGGATTAAAAAATATCACCAAATAATTTTAAATCAATCATTCCTCTGCATGGAAATAGTCTGGTGATGTAGTTTTCAAATGATTGAT